AGCAATGTTCCGAAGCTCGGACTCATGTTTACCTTTCAGATTATGCTAAAATACACATAATGTACAGTGTAACTTTTGCGAGGAAGTGTTGAACTGAGCAATGTGTATGAAGCTGAAGTCGTATTTCTGTTTGTGCTCACCCAGGTCTGCAGATTCTGTACACGTTGCTGCAGAATGTGGCCCAGGAGGAAGCAGCCGCTCAGAGTTTCTATCAGACGTACTTCTGTGATATCCTACAACACATCTTCTCTGTGGTCACCGACACATCACATACCGCTGGTGAGTTTACACACGTGAGCTGTGGGGTCCCCAGCGGGAAAGAGAGATCACTTGATTAAAGATAAATAAAGTTTCTCTAGTAAAAAGGTGTGTGTGTGTGTGTGTGTGTGTGTGTGTGGTGTGCATGCTGCAGGCCTGACGATGCATGCGTCCATCCTGGCCTACATGTTCAACCTGGTGGAGGAGGGGAAGATCACTACAGTGCTAAACCCTGCCAGCCCCACCAACAACCAGGTGTTCATCCAGGAATACGTGGCCAACCTGCTCAAGACTGCTTTCCCTCACCTACAGGAGTGAGTATGCGCGCACATGAACACACACACAATGTCTGTTTTAGTAAAATCCACATTTATCATCCCTGCGTGCCTTTGTTTGTGTTAGTGCCCAGGTGAAGGTGTTTGTGACCGGGCTGTTCAGCTTAAACCAGGACATTCCTGCCTTCAAGGAGCACCTAAGGGACTTCCTCGTCCAGATAAAGGTGAGGTTGTCCGACTGCGCAGGTCATGTATGTTCTACTCAGTCACACAGCTTGAGTTACTATAGGTGTCAGGATTTGTTGTTGTTTTTCAGCCATTGTTTGGCATTAATACAGCCACATGGCTCCTATCTGGGGCAAAACAAGACACATGCACACAGATCAGTGGTTATGCTAAGTGTGAATTTAATGTAATGTATTTGAAAGTCCGTCCATGTGTATTTGTTTGCAGACAAGCTGTGAACTAAAACTAAACTGTTTGTTGTGTGTGCAGCGTGGGCTTTGTCTCTTGACACAGAGGTTATCAGGCACTACATAGTTAGCTGCTTAGCTGTTGTTTCCAGAAATAACATATTCCTGCATGGCCAGGTTGTCCTTCTAAGTATATAGGAGGTTTGTGGCTGCTATGCCAGCTTATTATTATTGCGAAACTGTGTATGATAGTGACGGTGATGGTGTAAAGTCACCACAGGACATGCTCAGTGTTCTCTGTTCTACTGACGGGTCCAATTTTCAGGCTAAATAGATTTTTGGTGGGTATTTTTTTAGACTATAATCTTGAAATAAAAGATGAAACTGAGCTTTTGAGAGTCCGGATCAGGGCTGAAACAATAAGTTAGTTAATCGATTACAGGATCAGCAAATAAAATTATTGTAAACAATTTAGCTAATCAGTTCATTCTGACCAGAAATTTGGACAGGTTTTTTACAGTTCTGACTGTTTTTGTTTGTTTTGTTTTTTTTGGACTAATCCATTAACTATAAAAAAGAATTGACAGATGAATTATAATGAAAATAATCATTAGTTGCTGCCCCTGTCAGGGTCCTGCAGCAGGTTAAGTGGATGGATGGAGCTGACTGCAGTGTTTCTCTTGTTCTCTGCTGCTGTTCCAGGAGTTTGCAGGCGAGGACACCTCAGACCTGTTCCTGGAGGAGAGGGAGGCATCGCTTCGTCAGGCCCAGGAGGAGAAACACAAGATCCAGATGTCAGTGCCGGGCATCCTCAACCCTCACGAGATCCCCGAGGAGATGTGTGACTGAGCCGCAGCTCCACCGAACTGTACAGTACTCCAAACAAACAAATAAATAAACCCTAACCACAACAAAACCAGAGAGAGGCACTTGAGTGTGGTGGGAGGCCGCTCACCCTCTGCAGAGCAGGCCGTCCCATTGGATGTTTGTTGACCAAAACAATGCCAACAATATGTAAATGATTACCGCGTCACCCTGTGGCCCTTTTTACATAATCTGCGTTTTGTATGGAGACTTTTTGTGTAACATCTTTCCAGAACTGTTAATCTAAGCTTATGTTTTGTTGGTCTCTGGCCCATTTCAAGACCTGCATGATGATGTTGTAACAATTAGGACACCATAACCATCTTGTTTTTGTTCTGTTTACCCCACCCCTTCATGATGTCTTTTTTTCCCAAGGTCTTCCCTTTTTTTTATGTAAAAAAAATTACAGTCTGAGCAGGGTTTTTGTTTAAAAACAGCATATCTGTCAAGTCAGCATAGAGGCTTCTAGACCTGTGGTGTGACAGACAGCAAGTGGTCTTTTCGGGGAGAGCGCACCGCTTCTTTGGTGCCCCACAGCATTGTGGGAGAATGTGAATCTAACTGATACTGAATGAAGGTCGAGAGATGCTGCTTCATGCATCAGCATCTGTTGCTCATGAGTTGTGCTTCACCTAAAAAAAAAATAAATGTTGCTGGCAGGAGGGTTTTTTTTTTTTTTTTTTTTTTTTTTTTTTTTAGGGAAAGCAAAACCGAATATGTGCATATCATCCCAATTGTATAGCATCTTTAATACCATGGGAACATTTTTTTCCTTTTATTCTATTGTTTCATTTTGTTGTGGGTGTGTGCGCGTGTGTGCTGTCGCCTAGTCGACATCAGCGTTTTGTTTTCCTCTAAGAGGATTGTTGCTCATTTGTGAGCTTTCATTAATGGGATGTTTTAAGGAAGTGGCGGAGGTATTTATGGGTTCCTAGTTGGTTGCATCTTTATAACTCCTGTATAACTCAGATGGCTTTGAAGATTTTGAATTGTACTAATTTAGGTTGTTTACCATGCAGTAGTGCTTCAAGACACTACCTTTTAGAGCAAAATGAAAAATAAAACTGGGTTTACATTTAATTTTGTATTTTTGCATTTTTCATTTGTATCTGTTTGAGTTCTGTCCAAATAAACAAAAGGCTTTTTGTCCAGAGAGCAAAATGAATTGCCAACGAGTTTAATTAGGAAAGGAATGTATAAATCCAAATAAGTACCCAATCTCTTATGGCAAATTTCCCTTCTCAAGGTGTTAAATTTGTTGTGAACTTTTTGAACTGATTAAAGTTGAGAATTTTATAACTTTGCCTTTGCTCAGATTTCATCATTCCACAACAGAGACCCATTTTACAGGAATTTATGTTTTTTTATTAACTAAAAAAGTTAAAATTGCCCCTCCACTAAATTTGTTTTGTTTGTTACTTCACTGTGATGTAACACAAAAAAATATTTTGTATAGAAGTATGTTTTAAGGATCTTGAGCCAAGACAACAGAAACACAATTTAATGTATAGTTTGAACTAGTTCTTCACTGTTCTTTCTGTGAAAGCCAAACCCTGCAGTCTGAGCAGTTTGGACCAGATGAATTGATAACATGTTGGCTGGTGTTGCTGAAAATGTGGGTTTCTGGTCCTGAGAAATGGAAATATAATGTTACAGTTTATATTTGTGGCATTTATCCACATTGACAGAGTGAACAGGAGGAAACGTTTACTGTACTTCTGTATTGTTTGGGATGTAGCTTCCTCTGACGGACCGTAAAATTATTATTACATTTCATTGGAGGTTTTGTGTGTAGTAACTGCACTGAATTCTTTTTTTTTTTACCATACTGTCATTAAAATTCAGACTTTACCCATCTTCTGTACAGCCCTATTCTGTTTAAAATCCTTAGTGTATGCATGCTTAAAACAATAGAATATGCTGGTCCGTAATAGCTAAATTTAGCAGTGCCTCATCCCAAGCATAAAAAATAGCTTCAACAGTGTAAACTGGTCATCAGAGGTTTCTCTCATGTAGTATCATCTCTACTGGTATTGACTTGGAAATGTCTCAAACCCACTTCTCCTTCAATCCCTTCCACACAAACACATTGACATAAATCCTAAAAGGAAAGGTAGATGATGATGATGGCGGCTATCATCTGTCACACTGGCCTATGGCCATTTCCGCTAAGACATATTTGGCCAAGGTTGGGGCCGTGTAAGCGGACCCTGCCACTAATCCCTGTTAACATACTGGTATGACATTAAAGGTTGTGATGACGCCCTGCCGCTGAAAGTTGAAACACTCGCCTGATGCAATCCCAGCAGCCAGCAGTCAGCTGTGACGCAACCCGAGAGGAAGCTGTTGGAACTAAGTGCTGGCTATGACAGTCAGGTGTGTCAGCTGTGGGACTTGACAGTGTTTTTATGTTAAACCTGGACAGTGGCCATGTGTTATGGCTGCAGATCCTTATTTCTAACACGTCTGTGCAGGAAGGCTTTTGCTGATATTCATACAGTTTTATTTTTACAGGGGTTTGGAGCCTTTTCATGGAGTCAGCATCTCTTTCCTCTGGAGTATTACTAGTTTATGTTTTTGCTTTGATGCTTTAATATCTGATCATCTCTGGGACCAAAATTCAGTCCGGCTGTAATTGAACCCCCCTCCCTGACCCAGATATCCTCAGTCATCCTGGGCATCCGCTGTCGAGGAGAAGAGGCAACAGCTGGGGTAACCCCCGCCCACCCAACCAAAAAATGAAAAGCCAGCTCTACGCCCTCTTACACCCTGCTCTGTGTCTACGCTGTGGGCAGGCAGGGTTATTAATACCCCAATGAGAAAGTTAAACAGGAAGAGCCAGGTTAGCGCCCACACCAGTCAGTGCCTCTCAAACAGAGATGATGGTTGGCCTTGCACCCAGCGCCACATACCGGCCCTTCCTTTACCCAGGACCTTCACACTGTTTCTACAATATCAACAGGCCTCTTTTAGCCTTTTGCCCCCCACCCCCTCTAATGACTGAAAACTGTGAAAGGAGTACAATCAGTATAATAAAATCATTTGTTGATATCACCCGGCAGTAAGCTGGAGCAGAGGCGACAGGTTGTGATCAAACTGGGGCAAAGTTGATTGTTGAGAGGCCAGTTTACTCCCACAAGGAGATATACTGCCACCCAGTGGACAGTAAACAGAAAAACCTCAGAGCAGCTCAGTGTCATTCATGTTTTATTGGTCCCAGTGTTGTACAGTATGGTCACATTCCAGGACAGAGGAATGGCTATAACTACATGTCTACCAGAACTGGGCTTCACCACAGAAGACAATTAATGCTAATACAGAGTTAATTTAATGTTCTGTGACTGAAGCAGTAAACTTCCCTACCTGGTCTTTAGCAGAATTTCTTTCTCTCGTAAACTATTTTCTTAGTCCTGTAAGTGTGGACTTCACTGGATCCACGTAATTCAGATCATCGGGTAAGGTGACGGTCGGAAAAGAATAAACTAGCGCTTCTTATGTTGTCCTTTGTAGGAATCCCCCACTTCTCCAAAAATAAATTCTGAAGACACGCTGAGAGGATCCAGATCCAGAGTTCTCCTCCCTTGTTTTTCAAGGACTGAGCACAGCTGCACAAATAAATAGCTATCTGAGCGACATAGGATGCAGTTGATGGTGATTCATACATAGTCACCTGAGTTAAGCAAAGAGGGTAGGAACAGGACTGACAAGGGGGTGAGCTTGAGTCCATAGCTGGGTTATAAGTGGTGGCCGTGCTAGAGGGGCTGCCAGTAAGAAGGTGTTTTGTTGTACTGAGCCCTCACAGAAGGATCTCGCCTCTTCCTCTTTGTTCTCTTGACTCTACGTGAGCTCTTCGTCAGTTTTCACGCTCGTCTCTTAAGCAGCTCAGCGGCCTCTTTCCCATCAAGTCCTTTATGTTGTTCGGATTTGAGCATAGCGTATTTTTGATCTACAGAGCCAGAGAAAGAAGAACAAGGTCAGTTATCGAATGGGACATGAAGAGGGGTGTGTGAGTGTGTGAGTGTGTGAGTGCCCACAAAGAGCACCTGGGTATCTTCTCTGAAGTCTGTCTGGCTTGAGAGGCTCCTTTAAATTGGGCTTCCAGTCTGGAGTAGATTCCCCCTGTAGGCTGATCAGCAAAAACAAACACACACACACAGATTATCCAGTATAAAAACAATCCAGCAGCTGCAAAAACTAGACCAGGAGAGCTGACAGCTCAACCCCAATCGTAACAACATGATGTTAAATAAGTAAATCATACATTCCCTGCATCCTGACACTAAATACCATTCTGAATGTACATGAACAGATACTTGCCTCTTTAATATCCTTAGATTTGCTCTGTTCCTGGTCTCCAAACCTCATCTTAGTCAGGTGGCTGATGATCTCTACCATGCGACGCTGGTCTGGTTCATAAAGACAAAAATTATAACAAAGACTAAAAACACAGAACTTGATGTAAAACTAAGGATAGTAACTGTAAGAATTAAAGAGTAAAATCAGAGCGACTATAAGAATGGGAACTGAATGGGTGGTTTATACTTGATATGACTAAAAATAGTATTAATAACATTCAGTTCCAGTAGAGTCCTCCTTTACCTTCTTCCCTCTGAGCGTCCTGGTTGTATCGCATGGAGCGAGAACTGTCCCACTTGCTTTTCTGGACACTCACGCTACAAAACACACACCACAGGCACCAGTGTCAAATTTAAAAAAAAGACACATATGTATTATAATGAGGCAAAGTACCTTCTTCAGAATCCTGAAAAGGGCAGTTGGCCCAAACCCTGGCCTTTATCGGTTGCAATACGTTAGTGTGAAGCTTTCCCATCCCTTTTTTGGTCAAACAGCATGCACGAGTACTGAGACTCATTCGCTGTTTTATCCCTTACAATGTCAAATAAATATTAACTGCACTGGATACATTTAAAAAGTGGCAGGTAAGATTCCAGATATTTGAAAACGTTTTATTCAAATAAAAGCCGAGCATAACCACACTTCCACCCTCACCTGACACTGCAGATGTAAGCATGGGTATGAGAGTATTTTAAATGATCTTGTGTTTGCAGATTAACTCACGTGAAAGGTGTGTTGTCCCTGGACTGATGGAGAGAAAAACAGATTTAGGTTAGAGAACACAAAAATGCAGGTATAAAGTTAAAGTTTGCTACTCAAGTGTGAATATGCAGTAACTAACATTATTATAGCTCCAGATAAAACTAAAAAAAAACATAAACATGCTGCATAAAAAACAAACAGGCTAAAATGTTTCTGGTTGAATCTACAATAACTAATGACAGTTCAGAAACCATAAATAAGCAGTGTACATGATATGTTTAGGGACATGATGTTTGACTATGTCTCTTTAAATAGAGGTTTTGGAGCAGTAATACATCATTTAGAGTCAACTGTAAGCACCAATTCATGGAAGCTGATTTATTTTTGCTTGTTAAAACAAAATGTGAACACCGTGAGTGTATAGCCTTCTATCTCAATAAATCATTTAATGCCCAAGCTGCAAATAATACACACTGTTACAGTAAAACACAAGGTTACAAGGTTTTAGAAATTCAAGTTGCATTCTGCAAGATTTTACACCAGTGAGGGCTTTGAATGTGTATTTATTTATTTAAAAGGGGGCAGAGCACGTTAATGAACACTTCAGCCTTTGCATCCATGTACATAAATATTCCAGAGTTAGCCAGAAGGCTAGTTTTCCTCTTTAGTAATGAAGCCAGTGACTCACTTTCTCTGGTTTGTCTTTGCGTTGGAAGTTTGGAGAGGACACTTGTTTTTTCAGAGGTCTGTGGGTCTTCTTGGCCTTCTTAGCAGCTGGAAACAGAAAAAGAAAGAAGCAGAATGAGCATGTTGATGGCATCCGCCGCCACCTGCTGGCCAAAGGGAGCAACTGCTTTTTTTTCTCCATCCCTAAAAAAGGGCTGAAGGGTAACAACAACGCAATGTTAAATATAAACGGGATGAAAATGTAAAGTGAGGGTGGAACAGTAGGGATGTGCTATGAATAGAGGAATGTTTCATTATGTGTCCTCATTTTACTTTTATCATTTAATTTAAGCACCGTGGCGGTGCTTAAATTAAATAGCGTGGCGGTCAACGGAACGAAAATTCAATGAAACATTTAATGAAAATAAACATGACATTTATAATGAGGTCAGGGGTGATTCGTCACAGCAAATGATAACCTCGAGGCATCATATGTTACATGATAAAAATACAAAAAATAATAACAAATACAATGAAAAAGAAACACCCCATACATATAACTGTTTTGATATTCAGGAATAACTTAATTAATATTCTGGAATCCTTATCACCCGATCACTGCAGTAATAACTGCTTTCAATCGCTGTTCACTGCTCGAAAAGTTTCTCTGATTACACAGGATTTATCATGAGAACTGCAATTAAACTGTCAAAAACCCTGTTACAATAGTAATGACGAGAACAGTTATGATCCTGCAATTAAACATCGCAATAGCTTGTTAATTACGTGAATAGATCGACTTATTATTATTTCTTTCAGACATGCAGCGCACCTCTCTTTCAACAGCTTGAGTAGAAAACGCAAAGCACCACCGCCGTCATAGTTGAATCTGTTCACAACATTTTATCGACTTAACTGTTAAACTACTAATGAAGAGAACTGTTGGGGTTTTTTTTCTGTAAAAAGCTCGACTATATGTTGAATAATATTCTTTTTGTTGCTTTGCCTGTTTTTCATGTGCCCAGTGTCTTCCTTTGCCGTGTCCAGCCACAGCCGTTTAGTAAAGTTTGATGCTTCTGACCGGTTCTCGTGTTTAAATTCGCAGCGCCACCTGTCTGCCAGTGAAACTGCCTCTCAAGCTGTCTTTCGGAAATGCTTGAAAACGTTCTTTTAAAATTTCAAAAAGGTCATTAAATGCAATAAGTTATATTACATTGAAAAAGTAATTGAAATTGTTACACCGCTATTCTATTTTAAATAGGGTAACTTGTAATCAGTAACCTATTACATCTCCAAAGTAACCTTATAACACTGCTGCTATTAGAGCTGACTAGTTCATTACTCAGAACAGAAAGTTAAATTATTTTAGTTATTTTGATAATACATTTTTCAGTTTAATACGCTACATGAGACCTGTCACAAAAAGCTACAAAGCTTCTCCACCTTGTTTCTTGGACAGCTCCTCTTCATCTCCCACCTCATCTTCAGTGACCTCTGACCCCGTGGTGTACTCCTCATCCTCTGACAGGAGAGACTGCTGCCTCTGGAAGGGCAAAGGTCACAAGTTTTAGACAATTACAACTCAGCTTTTTGATGACACTGACTTTAGATGCTGGCACCTGCAATCTTTAAATTCGACTGATTTAACAACATATCTCAGTAAAAGCACCATTTACGCTTTCCTTTGTACCTGGATGTGTTTGTAATTCGGGAGACAGCTGGCTAACATAGTGATCAATGCCAGAATATTAGAAGATGTGATGAAGTGCATAAGAGAAAAGTCCTACCAGTTGCAGACTCCAGTTTTTCAACAGGGAAAACTGGTAAAAAAGAAGAAATGGTTTAAGTCAGAACCATAAATATGACACAGGTGAAGAGACACATTGACACAAAGAAGAAAAGTACCAACAAGAGAAAATTAGAGAGAGAGAGAGACTTACAGTGCTGCCGTCTCCTCTCGGAGGCCCCAGCAGTGTTGGCTCCAAGAGAACGTCACCGTCCTGAACCTTTACTGCACTGGATGGACTCTCCTCAGCACTAACACACATACCAACACAAACAAACAGAATTTCATTGGGACGTTGTTGGACGTTGTTTCATAACAAGTGCCCCTGTAAAATGTTGGCATATGGACATTTTTATACTTTATTTGATTCTGCAATACAGTCACATTTCATCTGAAATCTAATTTTCTGAAGAGTCCAGGATATTCAAGCAGATCACACTTCATCATGGGTGTACAGTTTTCAAGGGTAAAAAAAACGTCTCCTCCATCTATCCTCCATATAAACATGCTCCCTATGACCGCTGACATGGACCAGGACTTTGTCAGCTGTTTGGTCTTTGTTTGGTGTAGCCCACCAATGCAAAGTCCACGTACCACCAGCCTGTGTGCATGTCCAAAACTGCCGAAAACTAGAACAATAAGCTGGCATTGTATGACTCTTCTAGAAACAGGTCAAAGAAATGGTCACATGATACATTTTGACCTTCTTTTCTGTAAAGTAGACGGTGATAATGTCAGGTGTACTAGCAATTCCACAGACGGTTTCTGGAGGAGAGTTAAACCGCTCAGATCTGTCAGCAGTGTGCTTATAGATGTGCTTATTCTCTGTATGCGGGATCTGCACAGCTACAACTCTGTCATGTCTGGCAACATACAGCCCTTTAAGAGAGCTAGAGCTGTTCATGACTCCAGATGCTGAGGGGTCTTGCAGCATACAGAGGGGTGAATGGATGGTCCTGGTTGGGAGAACCTGTGATTGAGCTCTCACATAGGAAGGTAAGTATCTCCTCACTGATGATGGCATTGCTGTAGATGGTGTGAGATCAGCACAGGGCAGCTTTTTCCACGTCCCCTCAAGGCTTAGACTGGTCCAGTACTGACAGTACTGACTGAGCTCTCTGCATCTCCAGTAAACATTGTCTTGAAGTTCAGGGCTGGAGCAGGTGAGATTTTTTGTCTGGTGCTGTGTTGGATGGATCCTTCACCACTACATCAGAGACGTTTACTGTTTCAAGCCCCTGTGCGGTGCATTTTAGTTCCGTACCTGTTCTCCTGCAGAGGTCATTTAGTTCCGGCCAGTCTGACCCAACACCAAACCCCTGAGCTTGTGCATCCAGCTTCCCGTTGTCTTTTCTTTTGAAGCCCAAGAATAACACACACACACACTGCCAGATCTTCAAACAATCTACACACACTCATGCTCACCCCTCTGCAGGTGGCGTGTTAGACAAACACACTGCGTCTCTGTGCAGCAGCAGGTCATTAAGGACTCTGGTCTGGGCTGAGGCCACCTCGTCACAGTTCTCTTCGTCAGGCACGTTCACTATGTGGTCTCGCATCTTACAGCCCTGAACACACAAACGCAGTCACGCTTAACTTCATCAGGCTTTCCTGAAGCTTTAACGTGCAGCTTGAAAAGTGTAAGTAGGACGACAAGCAATGAATCGAGAAATCACTAACAAAGAGCATGTGATCGCAGAGTGCATTATTAAACACATAGAGGTTCTACTGCTCATCGTAGATCAGTCTCTTTGTGCAGCAGTTTAGCTTGTGCCTGTGTGTCTGTGTTAGGCTGAACTGTGAGCTGCATTTATTCATTCTCTGTAGCCATGGAGGATAAACGGGGTCAGTAGCCATCAAAGAATGCGATGGGTGGAGGGCATGGAAACACCCTGGTCAGATTATTTATCTGCATGACTTTAGTGTCGAGCAAAGGATTTTGAGTATAAAAATAACAGTTATTTTAAGCATGTATTTGACAGGTTAAGTGAGTGTGTGTGTCAATACCTTGGGCATACCGGTGGGGTCAAAGCGGAGAACCCTCTGGTTGCAGCAGGGATAGATTCCTGCACCATGCCAGCCTTTCTCTGTACCCATGCCAGGGTACAGCACAGAGTCTGGGTGGTACTTGCAATGTGTCAGCTCTGCACACACAAACACCTATACGCACACACACACACACACACACACACACACACACACACACACACACACACACACACACACACACACACACACACACACACACAAACACATACTGAATTGAAACTCTTTAGGTAGGGTTGAATATACTGTGTCATTAAGTGCTCATACACGTCCATAACCTCACATGCATGCACAACAGGACAGCAGGGCTGCAACTAACGATTATTTACATTGTCAATTTTCTCGATTAATCGAGAAGTTGTTTAGTCCATAAAGTTTATCTTAAAAAAATTACTGTAAGCAATTAATCGAATACCAAAATAGTTGGTTATTAGTTTAATAGTTGACAACTAATCAATTATTTGATTATCGTTGTTGCAGCTCTAATACACAAACACACACCTGTTGGCATCGGGAGCAGGTGAGGTGGTTGATGGTACCCCAGATTCTCCAGTAGACCAGGACCCAGGACTTGAGCTCCTCATACAGACCAGTGATGTATTCATGCACATCCCAGCTCTTCTGTCTACACACACGAATACACACAGATTGTGATCAAGACTTTACCCCTTAAAAAACGCCAATGGGATATTTCTGTGTATTACTGCTGACATATAGAATGGCTGCTATAATACCTAGTGTGTGTATATATGATTTCTCCACGAGTATCGACATTGATTTTCCCTGGAACACAAGAAATCTTCCTCTCTGTGTCTTTGGTCAGCAGTTTAAGGCACAGACCACACCTGGGATTGAAAACAAATAGTAAGACAAGCACTAAAAATGAGAGAACAAATCAAATGTCAAGGCAGGAGAAGCTTCGTGAACTCACTCACGGATACAGGTTGTGATTAAGGCTGTTCCTAAACAGTGAGTCACTGCTTGGAGGGAGAAACTAAGAAGCTAACTGCTGCTACTCACCTGTAGAGAGTCGACCCGTTTCCTGGTGAATCTCGGCTCTGGCAGCTGGCATCGAAGAGACGCTCAATTTTCTTCTGAAACAATTTGCTTTGATGGGGAAATAAAATAAAAAATGTGCATTTCTAGCACTGACTGCTTTTGCATTTTGCCACAAATAGAAACATAAATGAACCCAGTGACTTATTCACATTCACTTTCCCTGGAACACTGTTTGGACAAGTCACATCACATTCAAGATGCTTTGACAAATGACTTGTAAAACAACTATCTTTATCTATCATTGCCATCTTGTTACCTTTTGAACTTGTCTTTTTTGTCCCTGATGTCGTCCGCCTCATTGTGGTTGAAGAGGTCGGCGATGCGCGTTGCCAGGTTGCTGTTGATGCAGTTCATGTTGCAGGGTGTGGCCACGATGGCGCTCATGTGTTTGTGGCAGTACTGGATACACTCCTCCACCTGACCACAGACAAACATATACCACTCATAAGACCATTTTACAGCGGTGGAACATTTTATTTAAATTCTCCTACATAATTATTAATCAAACACTACTTTATCATTGCCACAATGTGAGTTCTTCTTACAGCACCTTAGTAAGTACTAGTGATAGACCGATCAATCAGGCCGATATCTGGCATTTTAAGATAACTGGCATTGGCCGATACCTGCACTCACAAGGTCGATAAATCAAATCTAAAATCTACTCTAAACCATTTCTGGCTAGCGTAAATATACTGTATATTGTTATATTGTGGAGAATAATGCAGTTGAATGACGTCACTTCTGACAAACTGTACCCTGCTCTCTCTTAAACACCAGTCATGTTCTGAAATCTACAGCAAAACGCAGAGTATTTTTCTATTTTATGAATTAATAAAATCCATCTAACAACACAACAACACCACATTACTGGCTCAGATAACCATAAATATTAGACTGTGCATGGAATAATGGAATTATGCAAGACTTTCCTTTGTTTTGATATCGGCATTATATATCGGCCTCCAGCCACCGTGTTCTCTAAATATCGGCATAGGCCATTAAAAAACCCGTATCGGTCGACCACTAGTAAGTACGGCAGTGGTGAGAAAATTTTTTGCAAACTGTCTAAATAAATCAGGGGGGCAAAATAACATCTACACTCTTAACATCCATGCAACATAAATTTAACAAAGCTCTATGTATGGGCCTCTTGTTTTTCCTGGACTAGGAGAGATTACAGATTATTAGTTCTGAAACATACACAAATTTGCAAGCTGCTAGTACTTTTTGGGCAACTCTGAGGCTTCAGTGTATTTGCCATTAAATATTATTGGGAACATGTTTGTTTCCAGGCCACATATCAATTGATTTTTTTACATTTGAAAAACAAAAGGCCCGAAGCACATCACCACACCTAGCATCACACGTCACAACACTTACTAACGTATCCATCTTCAAGAACTCGGAGGAGATCAGGATTGAGATCACATTGCTGGGCTCTGTAACCGACAAACACCACATGACCAACCAAGCTAACCCCACAACCAACAAACAACACAGAACACACAGCCAGTAACCCACCAAACACACACCACATTTAGTTCCTAATAAATCAAGCACCATCCACAGATTTACACAAACAGGAAGTGTAAGTGACAGCTCAGGCATTCCCATGTGTATTAATGTGATATCTATTATTGTTTAACAGTTTTTCCAAGGATTTACCGAGCCGGGGTTTGTCCCTGCTTCCATCCCCTGCAGAGTTCCTCCTGACGTAGTTCATGAGCCAGTCGAAAATCTGCACGTCACAGTGAACGGAGATGTCCACCTCCTCCCACCTCTGGGACTCCACAGACAAGTATTCCGCAAAGTAACGCATCTCTTTAATGAGAAGATCTCTGGGACATGTGAAGTCCTGCTTCAGGTTCTTTGTCTCATCACACACATGGATGACCATGTTGGGACTGTAGGAAAAAATACACACCTGACTGTTAAATTCAATTTTAAATACGAGAACATAGAAATTTTTATAGCCACCTTTAAAGTACAGAGGGTGTGAGTAAAAAATATCTTTGATATAAGGTTCTCATTACTTACTCTCGTGGCTTCTGAGGTTTGTCATCCTCCTCTGCTGAGACTCTTCTCTCTTTCTTCTCCACAGCACCAACCCTTCCTGAGACTCCTGTCGATTTGGACCCTGCTAACACCAGCACAACAAATGTAAATATACTCTAAAACCCAGTTATCAAACAGTAGTCCATGTTTTCTACTAGCCTGAGAACATTTCAGTTAACAGAGTTTGCTTGAACTGATTACATCTTGCAAAGCAAAAAGCCATAGTCACAATGTTCAAATTAACTCTATTTCATTTGAGACAAGCTATTATTAAATGAAAAAACTTAATGCATTTTAGATAGAATGAAACTTCCTGATTCCTGTGAGGTAAAAAGCTGCAAAAAAAAATTAGATGGCAAACTTATAACTTTAACTTATAAGTTAACAAGGTTATAAGTTTGCCATCCTATGCCAATTTAAGACCTTTTTAAATCCACATAGAACTGAATTTAATCTTAGTTTCATGACCATACTGGCCAAAGTATGAAAGTATGATGGAAAACCAGTAGGGATTATATATATTAGCATTATATCCCATCTACACTGAACAAAATTATAAACGCAACACTTTTGTTTTTGCCCCCATTCATCATGAGCTGAACTCAAAGATCTAAGACTTTCTCTATGTACACAAATATTTCTCCTAAATATTTATTTCTCTCAAATATTGTTCACAAATCGTCAAAATCTGTGTTAGTGAGCACTTCTCCTTTGCTGAGATAATCCATCCACCTCACAAGTGTGGCATTTTACACATGCTGATCAGACAGCATGGGGATTGCACAGGTGTGCCTGAGGCTGGCCACAATATAAGGCCACTGGAAAATGTTTCACTGTATTTAGGGGGTCCAGAAACCAGTAAGTATCTGGTGTGACCACCATTTGCCTCACGCAGTGCAACACATCTCCTTCACATAGAGTTGATCAGGTTGTTGACTGTGGCCTGTGGAGTGTTGGTCCACTCCACTTCAATGGCTGTGCGAAGTTGCAGTCGGGACGAGACCCCGATGAGGACGACGAACATGCAGATGAGCCAGTACCCAACTCTTGTTGGTTAAACCGACCAAATTAAAATGTTATCTGTATAACTCAGGATGGCACTAACTTACCTGTAACTTTGCTGGCGCTCTGGCTGCTTCCTGTCTCCACCACCTCTCCAGTGTCCAGCAGCGTGGACAGGCCGTCGGAAGGGGAGGTCCTTCCTTCTGTCAGGGCATTACATTGGTTGTCCACATGAGGAAAACCTCCCGTGCTCTTCAGCTCCTCAAATCGATGGGCACACTGAAACATCACATCAGTGCCAAGGTATTATTTATTCATCAGCAAGCCAAGCCTAACGTTACTAAACCATGGAACGATTGATGAATGGGACTGGAAACATGAAGGGGTGGATGGATGGAAGCATTCATAGTTACCCAGCATTTCAGTTACCTCCTTGGGAGTAAATCCTGGAACTAGCTTGGCTACGTTGTCCCAGTTTATAGGCTGAGGCACTCCCCACAGAGATCCCAGAACCATGTCCAAAACCAGGACATTGTTGTCATAGGGAAAGTTGTTGTTGTCTGAGCAGAAGCGGCTCATCTCTACAGAGGCAGAGACAAGAAACAAAAGGCAATAAGAAACAATGAATGCATCTATCTTATTAATAAACCAATTAATGAGGCTGATATCTGGCATTTTGAGATAATCTGCCTCGACGGATGCCTGTTTTCACAAGGCCAATAAACGAAAAATGGCTGCAGACACATCAGCTTTGTCAGTGTAGCTGCTGTGGAACGATGTTAACGCTCCCTGTGGTTTTGGAAGGTGGTGAAAAAGAAAGTTTAGAGCCCTAAACTTCCTAAGTCACCATCATCTTTTCTAAATCTATAGCATAACCCAGTGTATTTTTCTATGTCATTAAGTAATACAAATTCCATCTAAAGCAACAAGTTATTGGATAAGATAACCATATAAATTAGATTGTCCTCTACATGGAATAATGAGATTGTACATGACTTTCTTTACTTTGATATCAGCATTATATATCATCCATCAGCTGCACTGCTCTCTAAATATCGGCTATTGAAAAACCCATATCTGTCAATCACTAACCTTTCTGCCTGATCTTCATATCCAGATCACAGCTAAAATGATTGGTCAATCAACAGAAAATTAATTGGCAACTATTTTAATAATCATTTAAGTTCTTTTTCAAGAAGGAAGTATAAACATTCTCTTTTTCCAACTTGTCAACTTCGCTGCTGTTTTTTGTCTTATGTGATATTAAACTGAGTATTTTGGGTGTTTAGACTCTTGGTCAGGCATAACAAAGGATTAGAGAAAATTATTATATGAAATTTTAAAGCCCCAATGATGAATGTATTTAAAAATCACCACATTGATCAATAATGAAACTAACAGCAAGTTGCAGCCCAAATCCGAATTATGCATGCTTTTGTTTCTAGAGCACTCCTATCTCAAGTGAAATGGGGTGTGACAGCAATAGCAGTCATCAAGAAAATATTACATTATCAGAGTTACATATTGTGGATACTGATTAATGAGGACTGTCTGGCCCTAGTCACAACAGAGAATGTAAGTTAGCTCGTGGGGGGTAAGCCTCACTTTCTAAAGTTCCATAGTTTTTATTAACATAAACAAGCAAATGCTTCATGCATCAAAATAAGTAGTCTCACAGTAATATAAATTGTATGTGAATTGATTTTTATAGGACTGTGTTTAGAGACTGATGGTTGTGTTAATGCGTCATTCACTAGATATCAAAATTACTGTTTTTCATCACCAAAAAAAATGATTGGTCATAACATCCTCCTGAAGGCTCTGCAGAGCTGTACTCCGAGATAATGTTAGCAGCCAAAGAGAAGGATTTGTGCATTTTACGTACATGTGCTGATACAGATGGATGATATAAATTCATAGTATATAATAGAGAACTTAGCAGTATCAGTAAAGATGCTAGCGCGGGCCGAGTCCCTCTGTCCTCCTCCTGCTGCATCAACATCAGGTGCTTTTAGGTCACATTCAATCAGATAATTCCTACACATAATTCTAACAATAAGAAGGATAACATATCGTTAACATACTTATCTGGTGTCAGAAATATTCCTCCCCGTCGTCTCGTACACTGTAGTAAGCCGGCGTCTGTTTTATGTCATTGTGTGTGGGTGATGCTGATGCTGCGGTGTCTTCTCCTACCGGCTAACTGCAGCCATTGCTAACGCTAGCTAACTTTGCGGGACTGGATCTGCTGCCTTCAGGTACTCCTCGGCACAGGCGCCACACGACCACCATTAACGGTGTCAGTCAGTTGTATAGTATTCCTCCGTTGTTGGTGGGTTCTGCCATTTTCTTCAAAAAAATGTCAGAATAAATTATAAGGTATACACCTCCATAAACGATTGTGCTCACTTATCTAAATGGGCAAGTGTTGTCAAGTCGCGGGAGTTCAGAATATTTTGTCAAAGTACTAAACCTAGGTCAAGAATGAACCTCCAAACTCAACGGCATTTATGCTATATTTCCCAGTAGTCCTTGAAGGCAACATTAGCTCCACTCAGCTAGCATTTCGGATAACTATATATATTTAAGCCCATTAGCACGGGGGAAATGTTATCGACGGGCTGCACGGTCACAATACAAACACGTCGGTCAAGTCCTAAAATAATTCAGGGAGGTAAACGCTCTTTGGTTGGCTCCGTCTGTATCTGCAACGCTGACTCGTCCCCACTGTCGCACTGCAGCAGGTTACGCGTCCTGTTGCTTGGAGACGGCGGCCGTAAATCCAGAGTTTCTGCAACAAATCTTCCTTAAGCCTTCAAAAAACTAAGTCTAACACTAACAATATTATTACTACAATAAAAATAAAATTAAACAAAGTAAACACTCTTGTCGTTAAATTATGCTTAAACTTCAACTTTCAGATGTTACGGGTGCAAAAACCTTATTACTAATTAAACCTACTGTATCAGATCCAACTTTCTACTCCTGTTCACTTGACAAAATTACACAATAGGCAAAAATGATTTTTGACTATATTTATTTTCAAAATAATTATATTAAATATTTACAAAATTACTTTGTGACTAAGGAACCATTGAAAATGTGCAAAATTAGCCCCTTCTCATTCTGACTGAATCCAATCCCATTTGCTTTACAAGACAATACAGAGGACAAATCAGCCTATAAGGAAAGGCCAAAACCAAGTACAAGGTTACATAATTACATTATCAACAACAAAATATCCTGGCTTTGTCCTTACACCGTCATTACACAGATGATGTATCAGTGCACCTCATTAACTTAAACATCAACAAAACAATCTCAAGAAATTACATCAGACATGGTTGTAAGAACAGAGAATACACAAAACCGTCTTTCTTGAACAAGCTCTGATCAAAGAAATGTAAAGATAACCTCCTAATTTGAGACACTGGTTCTAAACAGAACAGTAAAACCGAAAACCAGTGGGTTTGATGCCTGTATTTATTATAGATGAGCCTACCAACTACTTTGAGCAATTCTTAACAGAGGTCCATGGTGTTTCTCCAAATACCTATGGTCAGCTGATTATAAGTCAAGCTTCAGAGTTAAACACTGCAAACAAGTACTGACTGAGCCAACCCATGTTATGAACATTGTGACTTGCATACAGAGACATGCATACATACACGGACATCACAAGTCCACCTTCTCGGGGATGTTTAGCGCTGTGCTGGAGGGCATACTAGAACTAGATGTTCCCACACTGAGAGAAGCTGGTGTTTCTGTGTACACTGCCTCTAGCAGCTCCTCTGCGGATGCTGAGGTGGAGGCTGAACCGAGGCCCGGGGTAAAGCCTTGGGCAGGATTTAACTGTAGGTGTGCAGCATGGGCTGTCTGGGAGGCCTGTGCATTCTCTTGCTGAGCCTGAGCAAGCCTCTCCATCTCTGCGTGCTTACGGCCTCTCCTCTTGCCCAAGATCTTGACATAGTTAGCTGGGACAAGTCCTATGGTCTGACCGTCCACGCTGGCCAGCAGCCAGCCACGCACCCTGGGCTGTTGCTCTAAACAAAAGGGGAGAATGAAAAAGGTCATGATCTGAGTTCATCAACTTGGGGTTGGGGGAGTTCACAACTATCAGACAACACTGTTCTGTTGTTTCGAAGCATGTCTTCCTCTTATATCATTTGATGATACACCGTGCATTTACAATACAACATGGACAGTTAAACAAGCTATTAGTTAATTCATAATGTTTATGTGGATCCCACTAGTTGTTACCTTGGCAACAACTACTCACAGCAATCAACAGTGCAATCAACTAAATACAAAAAAATATATCTAAACAAACACAAGTAAACAAAACATTAAATAAAAGACAGTTCTAAAAATTAAAGAATTTTAAAAATTACAATCTTTTAATAACAAAATAGGGATGTAGTCATATACTGGTTTTGACTGTTATCTTACTCTGATATACAGAGTAGCAAGAAATCTACCAAAATACTACAGCCAAGGACTGGGTGATATGGATAAAATCCTCCATCACTTTATTCACGCCATTTTATGTTATGAGATAACATAATATAAATATATTATAACGTGACCTTTTCCTTTAATATATCATTTTCTGGAAAATCGACTTAGAAACTTTACCAGGTGAGAAACCAAATCAAGAAACTGGCATCACACTGATGCAAAAATCATTAATTTGCAACATTGACCATAATGGCCAGTTACGCCCAAATGTATTAAACCATTGTCATATGAGAGAAACATGAGGACAGCAGTCATTAAAAAGCTCTAACCTTTAGGGGCAAGGTTCAGCATGTCTCCAGCCCGCACAGAAATCTCCTCTTCAGATGCAGCTGAAAAGTCATACTCCGCTCTGGCCACTACATGGTCATCCTCCCCGCTGGCCCAGTTAGTGGCTAAATAAAGAAACACACAAAACATCTTTGCTTGTTAAGAGCTGTGAGTACAGGACATCCACCAAATCTATGATATGACACCAGCTTCTCTGCTATGGAATATATTTCTATTGATCATTGGTTTGATATTTTATTTGTTTTTAAAGGAAAACAAAAAAACATGCTGCCTTGGGTACAGCTGAGAACTGAGAGAAGGTTGAATTGATATCTTCGAGACCCTCAGAGCCACAACGCTGTGCAAGTTTTCACTCCAATCCAGTAATCATTGAAGTTTGCTTTTATATTTATATTATCTGCTACATAGCAGAAGAGAGTTACAGGGCTGCACGATTTGGAAAAAGTCATATTGTGATTATTGTGGATAATATTGCGATTTGATTATAATGGAACAAATGATTCATGTTTAATCTCCATCTGTCCATTGCGTAGACACTATCCACAACCTGGAGGAGGAACTAGTATACATGAGTGTAGTAGTATAATAAAGACTCTAATGTTCAGTTAATAGTAGCCTATATTGTTACTATAATGTTAATATATGAATTACTATATTCATTATAATTTCATATTTTAGTATACTATTTTACCATTAGTTCAATTTTACATCCAGTTACAGCAGTTTCATTTCTGTGGGTAATCCTTGTGCAAGCAAAATGGCCCTATATTGGTCTTTAATTTGTTACTGCTAAGTATTAACTTGTCAATAATCAGATTATCATATATATTGTTTAACATTGTATAGTTTGCTGTAGCACATCATACATACATTGGCTGAAAAAACACACCTGAAAAGACTTGGGCCTAGATGCTGATCTAAAGAGCAATGAGAACCCTGGAATGGCTGGTACAGGACTGACCCTGAATTTGTGAAGATGCTCCTGAACTTGAAAAAAATAAATAAATAAAAAAAAGGTACGTGTATACACAAATGTTCACCAAAAAAAGTTTACCATCTCATCTGCAATTAGAAAGTCTTGAATGTTTGCCTCACCGTTTTCTTCTGAGCTAGTGGTGGAGCTCAGCAGTTTCCAGATAAGGTAGGGTCCCCCCAAGACTACAGCAAAAAATAGAATGATTGGCCAAGACTTCACAGGCTGATCCTCCATTCCTGCTCCATACCCCCTGGATGCACTTGTAGCCAGGGCATCACTTGCACTGTCTGCCCACAAGTCTTCAACCTCAGCATCTGACCTTCTCCCCAGCAGCCTCTGTAACCGTCGGTAGAGGTAGCGTAAGGTGCGTACCAGAGCGAAGGCTGACAAAACTCGGGTGAGGTGTGTACGCAGCCGTGTTAGGTGGTTGGCTACATCTAGCACAGCACGGAAACTGTTATACACAGCTGAAAAGGTGGCGTCCAGCATCATACTAACTGAGGAAAAGGCCTGCACAATGCTTTCGATGGACTGGAAGGCACCGCGGCTGCTCTCCTCCGCCTGCTGCACAAACCGGCTGGGGGCAACATCCTCCGTGTGGGAGAGGCGGCTGTACCCTCCCAGGCCGTAGCCACCACCATAGCTGTAGGGGCTGTACCCCCCATACATGGAGCTCCCATAGGGGCTATAAGAGGAGGTGGGGAAAGAGCTGTAGGATGGACGGTAGCCCTGCTGGATGGGACGAGGGGGCACTGGGGGCACCATCCTGGTCAGAGCAGGAGGGCCTGCAGATATAGAGGGGCCCGCAGATGGTCCAAAATTTGTAGACCTGATTGGTGAAAAGGACAAAACATACAGTTCAAAACATTGTCAGTGATTTTATATGTTTTGTTTTTTTTTTGTGATAAAGAAAAAGAGCATGGTTGTAATTTCAATTAGCCATGGCCTGATACTTAGTTACAGCAGGCATTGGCTAATGATTCATTGGCAATACTAGGATATTCAAAAACAACCCTTTGGATTAGCTCGAACAACCTTAAACATCGAAAATTATATTCTTCAAACGTGGTCCATAGGTTATTGGTATGAAATTCAAACAGCGATATTACCTCAAATCAAAAACCATAGTGCTAACGTTAAATTTTAGCTAAAGTTAACCGTTAAAAGTCAACAGCAAAGACGGTGAAGAGACCGTTTTATAGCAATTTCTGCTGAATCCCGTATTGCAAACTAAGTGTAAAAGGGCAAATTAACACGATTTAAAATAATGCTTTGTGTGGTGTTTACGTTCATAAAGTTATAAAGAGAGCCTGCAAGAAAATCTTTGAGAAATTAGCCACGAAAAAGTCACATGGCCTCGTTGGGCCTAGCTAACGTTAGTTGGGTAACGTTACTTGTTCAACTGTTACTTTGTTTAAATAGCTGGCTTTGGCAAAGTATTCTGATAAATGGAAATATTATTGGTCAACTGGTAATGATTTATAACACTATGTCAAAACTTCTACTATTTGAGATGAGATCTCCTCGCTTATGCAACAAACTTAGCGTAAGCTAAGCTAGCAACAACACCGAACCAGCTGCCGTCAACAAACACAAAAACAGGATGGCGAGAAAGCTAACGCGGCTATAGCAAGTTTACCTGTAATTTATAGGTGCACTCATTGCCCCAGGAATCCGCCTTTCCCATGGCTTCAGCGGAGACTGTGAATCCATCGCAAAATATGTTTTCACAAAGTGTAAAAATAATGCGAAACCCGCTGATGGCTTCTCCTGCTGCCTTCCCGTGCTCACGGTAATTTCCTACTTCTAATATCGCAATTTTGCGTGTATGTAGATTCAGTAGCCCTAAAGGGACTATATACACGTTATAAACATTGTAGGTATTTAATACATGTCACTTTGTCTATTAAATGTTGCCACGGCTTCCGTGGCATTAATCTCACGATGAAATTTTCATAATTGAAATATTCCAGACACCCCCTAAAGGCACCAAATGTGCTCATGTGTGTGGTGTGGTCAGACCAGAATAACTGATATAAGATATTTGCATTAACTAAATCTATCCGAATCGATCTTAAGACCTGAATATATTTAGCATACCTATCATTTATTTCTTTATTTTTTTGTCAATGCTTAAATTATCTGCCAAATCCATTGAAATCCTGTGTGCTTTTTCCACACACGATTAGTATAGCCTGGCCCGTTAAACTATGGCACTTCGCACTTCTGTCCAGCAGAGGGTGCTGTGACTCATCAGAAAAGAAGAACAACTTGAAAACGATTACAGCCTACAAATATTATCCGGAAAGGGGAATTTCCCTCCTCAGTAATACACTGAGGTTAAACAAAGAACACGGATTTTCATTACTATTTTACTAACTAATGTGCGCTCACATTGACATCAGTCATTTTAAATTTCTAGTGATTTGGCTATCGAGAAATATTGTCACTGTCCTGAGGTTTTGACTTCATTATGTACCTGCCCAATCTGCACTAGGAAGTTCAGATATAGAACGTGAGCTGAATAAACAGACTACTGTTATCAAGTAAACAGGACAACTGTAAGGTGTAAAGATCTGCCACTTTTTTCTTTTAAAATCCATTCTAAGAAAGGAACAACATTCCCACCACCTTAAATACATCAATAATTTCACACAGTTAGATAATTGGCAGTAGATGGAGACTTGCTTATAAAGCAGAATTCCTAAACTACACTACTGAAATGGCAGCTCTGAGATCTTACATGACATGTATGAGTTTGGTTTGAGGATGGATTCCCCTTTGAGCTTTCACTAGCTCTCAGAATCAAGCCAAGAGTTGTTCAGTAAGGTTTGAGGGGGTGGCTTGTGGCTGCACTGCTGTGAGCGTGAGGAAAGCTGCTCTTGAATGCAAGCTGTGAGAGCAGTTTGGTTTTAGAAGGGAGCCCTGTGATGTCAAGTGTTGCGTGTGTGTGGGGGGGAGCATGTGCAGAGCTATCACATTAGAGTTACTAAGGGGAGGACGACAGGCGGTGACTGTGTGGTGCCACAGTGTAGGTGTGTTAGACAGAGGCTGCCGTTTGAGACATGACGGTGTCAGGATCACTGGCAAAAGGTGACAATCCAAACTGTTGGCCTGTGATGTCGCTGTGCGTGGGAAGATGCTTGTGCTGATGATGGTCCTGGTATTTGGGGTTTGGGCTGAGCCCATGTGACCTTTTGCACTGAGATGATATAAGAAGGTCAAAGACAATAAAAAAAATCATTACATCCAAGCAAATGGATAAAAACAGACATTAGAAATGGTCAAGTATGAGGACACCCAAACATGACACACGTGTGGTTGTTTGATGTACGCTAGATATGCTGCACCCTCCACTCTTCTGGTTTCAGGCTTTCCACCAGATTTTGAAATCGGGCTGCAGGGATTTTGCTCCCACTGAGCTGATTGAAGACTGTAAAAGCTATTAAAACAAAATCTGTGAACAGACATTATAGTTTCTTGGTGAGAGTAAGATGAGAAGAACACTTGTTTGTTGGATGGGCAAGAAATCACCAAAATGAAGATGCAGCAGAAGGAACACTTCAGTCCAGCTTCAGACCATTACACAAGCATTCTCTATAAGGGCATTTTATGGGGGAAATGATGCCTATTGTTGCCAACATATTTCACAGCGACTGAAAAACTTGCTGGTGTAGCCACAAACTTACCCTGTATATTCCTCGGTTATATAACCAGAATCATAATAGACAGTTACACATAAAGTAGTTAAAAGAATCCCTAATCGGATCTGTTTCTGTTCCTGTGTACAGATTTAGCCTACTGCTCACACCAGACCTAGAACTTCACTCTAACACAGCATATCTTTTCTCACTCTGAAATTCCAGTGTTCCTAACTGGTTATGTGGTGTATTTTTGCCGGGCAGCACGCTGGATTGGCCTGAAAGTGTTGCGTGTACTTTTTCACAAACACTGGTTCCCTCTTGCTCTGGGTGCGAGCATGTTCTCTTTGTGCTGCATACACTTAAATGACAGAGGGGAAGATGGAGGCTTATACAAAAGTGCAACTCTTGAGAGAAAATATTGGTGGAACATACAGAATTCAGTTTAAGTGCGTGTGTGTATGTGTGTGTGTGTGTGTATTTAACACCCGTGTATGCCACAGTATGTTGACATGTTTGTGTGATTGCTTGTCAGAAAAGGAAAAAACAGCAGCTGACTGCCACATCATAACTAGACAACTTAGAGGCAAAGGGTTGTTATCAAGTTCTGTTATCTGACAGCATTGGCTACAGAAACAGTGAAGTTTAGGAAGAGAGCCTAATGTTTGAAGGCTACTTTGTTAAAGTCAGTAACAGCTATTTGATACCTTTCGGTAATATCTGATTTCATCCTAATATAATCATCCTAGATTATATTGTTCTCTGTTTGGACAATCGAAGGGCATCTAAGCTAGGCTAGTTAGCTTTTAACACACCTTGTTGATCTGGTGTTACTTTTTTTCTCTGTTATGATTACATTTATCTACTTCATTATTGCTGTCGTATAATAAACTCAATTACTAAAAAAAAAAGTGGAGTCATAGGAACACAATGGGGAAAGGTCGGTGAATTAGCTTTGGCTTTAGCTAAGGCTAGCTGTGATTCCACTCGAGCTAGAAATCTGGTCAAAGCTAGCTGGTGTGCTGTCAATGCGTTTTGGATTTTACCTCGCTGTTGTTGTTTCTATGGAATAATAATTTTATAAAGAAACAACAAAATGTTAACCAAATATGTCGTTACTCTGATATGGCTTTGTAGGGCACTCATCAGTGCTAAATAAATTACAGCAGAGGTTGTTCAACTTCTTCCTAGCCACTTCCTACATTAGAATAAGAATCACTTTTATTGGCCGGGTATGTGTACACGTACAAGGAATTTGACTCTGGCTTTACATTGCTCTCAAGGTACATACACAGAATAAGCATTTAAACAGATACTATGTGCTGTAGCCTAAACATAAACATAAACAACATCATATGTAGACAGTAAGATAATAAATCAAGACAATATTGCAAAGGATGCTGGTATGAATATTTCTGCGTAGTTATTTTAATGTACAGATACATAAGGTAAGTGGATATGATATAATATGGGCCTACAATATGAACGTCATGCGTAGATGTGTTTTGAGTGATGATATTTATGTTTTTAAAAAGAAACTGAATGTCAACAAGGAATATAAATAATTTGCATAGCATGTAATAAATATGGCTACTCACTTACCTCACTCACCTTTAGAACAAGTTCTCTATAAACAATGAGACCACGTGACATAAACCTACTGAACTCCCTGGAACACACAGGCAGGCTTTACACTTTTCTAGTCAAACATTCACAGAAAAAGCTTTGTGGGATTTTCCCTGCTCTCTAACATGAGTTAGGTCTTGCATGAGGAGCCCTTTCTAGCAATACAGAAGGTACAATACCTATAATTAAAATGTGCTGCAGGAAGTTTGCAAATTGTAGGATCAGGGAAATTGCTCTCAGAGAATGGAAGTAATAACTGTTCTCCATATATTGTAGAGAGGTCTTGGCTCAGTGATCTTACAGGTGAAAAGATGACTATATGTGGTTATGACATTGTTTTGGCATCCTTCCATGAGTTGATTCAGAAGGAGACAGATGGTTTTGAAAATTATTTACAAAAAGTGACCTTTTGGAGCCTGCTTTGTTCCTAAAAAGTCAAATTACTGTCTGTCTGTTATTCACCCCAGATACTTTTGGGGTGATTTGTTTTTAACTTAATGTGAATAATATACACACAGTGGTCATCCAGCTCAATATATGTAGACTGTTTGTGTGTGATAACTGATAAATCAACAGTAATGTTTTTATTTTAGAAAACATGCAAATAAATACATTGGGGAAGTGAATAAATACCATTACAATCTAATGCTCTATTATCAGCATTGCATGCATACACCTCCACAAGAATGACAGGCTGGCCCTTTAGTAACCCAAGCCTAATTTGGTGAGATCATTTGGTAAGATAATGGGGCGTTCATTCAGATGCCGTGTGACCGGATGCATGTTGTCAGCAACCATTTGCAGAGAGAGGGTTTGTTAGCTTCAAAGGAAGGGGAGGAGGGGGGTGTTGAGGGAAGGGGGAGGAGACAGAGCAGCAGAGGAGGGGCTTTACTGGAAATAGGTGGCTAAACAGGTCTAGCTTGCCTTTTCCAGGACATGGTTAGGAAATACTGAAAGAGACACCCTGCGCCAGGCGTCTAGGACAAACTCTCACTCAGAGAGGCAAACATGGTTGCACACACAGACACAACATAACCTACATGCATGTGCACACACACACTCATGCAGTGTTTGTAGGGGGAGAACTCTCTATTTACACCAAGTCCTGATACTAATGCAGCTCTTTTGCACAAGTCAGGCTGTTACTTCACAGTTGTCTATTTGAGAACATTCTGCCCTCTTATTATTAAACTGGATTTGATGTTGCAATAGCTTGTTTCATTACACAGCCCAGTGCTAGCGTAAACTCTTCTCGGACATGTATTAACTCTGGACCAATTGAGCACTGGGTTAAGGAGTCACACCTTAACATTAAAGCGCAGGGTCAACATCTTCAGGATGCTGTTTTAGAGATAAACCAGACAATGACCTGACTCTGGAACAGGGTTTTGTTAGTCCTGGGCTAAATGTGGGGCATTCTATATTCCATGTTGCAAATCTAAAAAGGGATTGTAAGCTCTGAACCAAAAGTGTAGTTTATAAAGCCTTTTTCTGAATCTGTACATCAGCAGGGTCGTCACGGAGACGTATTCCCCCTTTATGTGATAGAGTTAAGAAAACAAACATGTTTGGG